GGGCCGGCCGGGGGCTGAGCACGCGCCTCGTCCCGCGCCTTGGGAGAAACCGCTTGTTGCTCCCCGAGGCCGCGGTCGTTAATGAGCAATTAGTAATTAGCGAACGGCGAGGCCGCTGTCGGTGGCGGCTGCGGAAATAATTCGTGAAATAATTCTGCCGAGGCCGTGGCTGGGGAAGCGGCGGGGAAGCGGCGAGGGTTTTGTTTTGCAGCAGGAGCGTTAAAATGGGTGAAGGGGAAAAAAAAAGCCCTCAGAACAGGTTGTTCTGTCCCTCAGAACAGCCCATTCCTAGTGCGGGATCCCCAGGAAAGGCCGTTCCAGGACCCTCCTGTGGCTTCGCTCCACACATCCCCGCTCCTCTCCCCCATATCATTTTTATAAAGCTAAGCTGCTCCTTCTGATTTCCCCCATATCATTTTTATAAAGCTAAGCTGCTTTAAAGGGTAACTCTCTCAAGTATTTAACTGCATGCTTTTTAATTTTATTGTTGTAGCTGTAAATGGGGCTAGTTTGGAATTATCCTGCTTAAAGTGGGGAGCGGGGGGAAGGGAGCGTATGGGTTAATGTTTCCTGGAAAAAAATCTGCAGCGCAAAAGTTAATAAAAATGCCCCAGATTAAAAGAGAAGTGGAGATTTGCAAAAAGATTTGTGCTGTTTTGTGGTAAAATACAAACTTAATGCCCAAGTTAAACTTGAAGGATTATTTTTTAATTACTAAATGAATGGAAGCTGCAGGTTTTGCTGAGCAAACTGTGTGATGTGAGATGCACTTTTAGCATTTTAAGTTATTGTGCCAGTGTATGAATGGTTGTGACTAATCAGTTTTTATATGGGACACTTCCAGGCAGATTTGCAGATGGATTATATGACTCCTATATGAGGATAGATCAGGTTAGGTACCAAGAGTCTACAAATGAAGAACAGAGCCCCTCAGGACTCCCTTCCTTTGGAAGATCTAATGTGAGTATTTTAAAGGTCTTCTGGGTCTTCATATAGTGTTGACTGGCATAGAAGACAGCCAAATAATCATATATTTCACTGTACACAGTAAAATAATAGAATGGGGGTGTTGCAGCTGTGTGATAGCTTATTGACATGCTTGCCTTTTGTAGGCTTAAAAAGAATGTGGTATTGTGTTCAGCATAGAACTTGCTGCGTAGCATTAGAAATCCTACTTTATTGTCCTCTGCTCATGTTTCAGTCAAGAAAATTATTTTACAGGTTGTAGAAATTTTCTACTATATCACTTTTTTAAAGTCCTAAGGTGCAGTGTTTAAGTGAACTGTGTATATAAAAAAAGGCAGTGAAAAGCTTCAACAGGGTTGCCACTTAGCTTGTCAGTCATTTCTTGACAGCTAATAGCAAGTTTATCAAGAAAATAACCTGGCAGTCCTTGATTTGTGAAAGCAAGCTGTTGAAAGAAGGCTGATGTTGCCCAGAAATCAACTTGCTTTTCATGAAGCCTTTCTGCATTCAAATTAAGATTGATCTATAGTTGTGTGTTATGGTCGTGTTCTGGTACTCACTACTTGTACCTGTTGAATCAGGTTTGAGATACAATCCCGGTGTTTTTTTTTTTTTATTAAGAAATAATTCAGGGGAAGTGGAATCACAAATTTCTTTTGTATTTAAGAAGTCAGAATAAGAGCGACTTTGGGACTCTATCATGTCGCTAGAATCCATGACACTGTTAACACTTGTAAAATATTTATGTAAGCAGGATTAATGTGGTACATACTGCATTTTTGAAGTGTTGGTGCTTAATTCATTCATTCAGCTACGAGAGGCTTCTTCACAGAGGCCTTGCTGATATAAACTGCTGTGGAGATGTTCTCTGTCAGGACAGTTGTCTGCAAATGTGTACTCGTGTTTATTCAGCACGTACAATGATAAAAAGCTGCTTCTGTTGTGCATAAAATTGAAACCCACATAGTGACAATATCAAGTCTTGATTTCCAAGATGAAAGTAAGACTTATCCATAGGGACAGGCTTTTTTTTTTTTCCTCCTCCTCCCCACCCCAACTTTATAAACCAAACAAATATGAACCTTGTTCCATGCTTATGTTCTCTGTTTATTTGTAAACCTACTCTCTGTGTCTGTTTAATGTGAACAGACTTTCAGCGAGCTCTCAAAACACGCACGTCGTCCTTATCTCGGCGTTTCAGCCAGACCCGAAGAAAAAGGTGTTTATCCAAGATCCCAGGGCGGAGGTGTGGTGTGTTTCTTGTTGCGTGGGACGGGCGAGTGCTTTTTGGTGGTTTGTTTTCCTTTGAGTTTCTGGAAGGGCTCGTCCCTTGCAGTGTGCTCTGTGTCTGCATTGATACCGCTCCGAGCGGGGGGACTCGTTAAGTTTTGGATGGCCTGGACCCCGTTGGTCTGGGACAGCCTTGCGGGAAGTGCCTGTTTGCTGGGCTGCTGAGCAAGAGCGGGTGTTTCAGGGCAGCACCAACAAATGGACTCTTGAAAGAGAGGTGCGTGGTTGTCTTTGGCAAGAATTATCACTTCCCTTATTTACCGAGTGTGCTGTGATGTTGGACTGTATGTAACTAAAAAGGAATTCAATTTTATTCCTGTGGAGCTACAGTTTTTTTTCTTTTGCTCAATTCCTGTGTAGCTATTTCAGTTTCCAGAGTTTTGGTTTGGCATGTGTCTCAAATCTTTATTTTTAGATTAAAGGCCAGAATGGAAAACAGATGTTGCTACACTAGCCATGGCCTCTTCAGTGCTGCATGGGATAAAATAACACCTCTCGCTGTCTGTCAGTGTGGAGGGTCACTGGGTTGAAAAGGGGGAATAGCTGCAGCCACAAGTAAGGAACAGAATTGTAGGAATTCAGTCTGTGAAAATAACAAGGTTGAAAACTTGCATAGTGCTTTGCTCATTTTTTTATATTCTTGATACATTAATTTCAAGTCTAAATAAAATATGATGGTAAGAGGCAGCTGTTACTCAAACTTTGAGAGTGGTAAAACATATTTTTGATTAGTTAGTTTCTAAGTCTATTCTCAAATACAATAATTCAGCTGTCAAGCTTGTAAAAGGGAGTCGTGGATACAGTGCTGTAAACAATGTGTTTTCTGTAGTGTGCTTGCTGGTGCTGCGGGTGTTTTCTGCTTTGTGATTGTTTGTTTTTTCAGTCTTGTCCTGGTTTGTCATCCTTCTGCTTCTTGGTTACTCCGTCTTTGTGTCACTTGCTGTCATTTGCTTGTCTTCCTTTGGCACTGCTGTCTTTGCGATATTCCCAACACTTCTCCAGCAATCCGTGTTATGCTGCGTGTTTCAGACAGGTGCAAACTGCATCTGTTGGCGGTTGTGTTTTCTGCACCCACACTTAAAGCTAAACTTAGCTGCTCCCCCGGCTGTTTTTGGGCTGCGTGCATTCCGGCCGGGATAGGTAGTGTGCCCTTGCCTGGGCCACTGCTGAGGCTTTACCCTTTATGGACTCAAAAATACACCGCATTTATATATATTCTTGGTCGAGTAAGTTGTATTCTCCTTGCATACCCATTGATTACTGCTCTTGTAACATGAGTTAATTTAGGGAATGAATCCAGCATTTTATGTTCATTCCTAGTAGAAAAGCAAAATGTGCTGGTGTTACAGCTCTTGTTTTATGTCCTATTGGTTGTTATTCTTGGTTCCTACTGTAAAAGATAACAGGAAGCTTATTTGTTGTTTTCCCATC